TACTAGAGGCAACAAGATCACAGACATATCATTGCTACCACCATGTTTGCAAGCAGACCCTTGAGCACTTGAGCAAATTTAATCGCTAAAATGGAAATTAAGCAGACGTAAATGATTTGGTCAATAAAAATGTGTTCACAACAGATGGAATGATCAAATGAAGCAAAAAAGGATTGAGACAGTGATGCCCATGGACATCCAAGAACTGTTTATAATAAAGACGAAGACTTTCAGATTGCAGTGTGATTAGCAATAAATGAAGATTATTGCTCAACATAGGTTTATTGCTCAACATGTGGTCCTCTGGAATACCTTGTGTAGTACACAAAAATAATGAAAAACAACCGGATATTTGTAAGAAAGCTGGATTTTTTTTAGGATTCTGGTGATATTTTCCATTCTTGTAAACAGAAAAGGACTAATATAAGGGGGCATTTTTACTTACATTTCCAAAAGTGAGTTAGCTTATCACCCTAAAATATGTTATTTTGGGTTTAAAAAATCAACAGCAGTTATTACATGCATGTTTTGTAAATTAACCAAATTTTTTTAGGGTATTGAAGCTGCTGTTAAGCTGTTCTTTAATTTTGGCCTCCATTTTAAAAAGCGCCCTCAATTGCCTCTCGAAATCTTCACATTAATAACTTTAGCTAATTATACTTTACTCCTATCATTATATATTCAAAAGTTGGTCAAACCTACCTCTTTTGTGCTTATTTTACCTATATATATATGTAGTTTATTTGATTTTAGCGGCCATTTTGAAAAGAGCGCCCTCACGCGAAAGTTCTCAGGTTACGCCCCTTTTACCTCACATATTCTGATTCCCCATAAAAAAAACTGGTCTAGAAAAACCATATGAGAGTTTCTACCTCTCCAAGTGACACCTATCTCAATTATAGCCTGGTCTATAGAGGAACGTCGCTGTTGATTTTCTTTCTTCACGCTTGAGAGAACATCTACATGAATATTAATTAGGTAGTCGAAGATAGGCTATTCATATTGTACTAGATGTATTATTTTCGATAGAATTTAGTATTATGCATTAATTGTATTTCAGATTGGATTTATGATGCAATGAAAACTTATGTACAGTATAATGATTCGGAGAGATCAAAATTTACGGTATGGCAAGAAATATTTGTAGAATCTGTATAATTATAGATACTCATAGATAATTAATAATCATTTACATACCATGATTATAACCTTTATGATGAAATGTTTAATTATTAAATCTGGATGCTTTGTAACATATCTAGGAAATTTATGAAGTGTACTTACTTTAAATGAGAATGTTTAATGAGCTGCTTTGATAATTAGGCATAGCAAATGACATTGTGTTGAATTATTCTAAGATTTGTTTTTTGTTTGTTTCTTATAGCAACGCCGAATGGTTCAAGAAAAGGAATTCAATATTAAGTTCCCGTGTTTGAATACTCCGTCGTCTGTACCGTCGTCGTTAAAGAATTATAGACCAGTCGCTCTAACATCACTTTTCTGTAAGTTACTGGAGGGTTTGGTAACCGAAGATCTAAACGCCCATCTAAACGAATTTGGTCTCTCTACGATAAGCAACATGGATTTACTACGCTACTTTCCGAGACAGCTACCTCTTGGACTCTCGCAGTCGATAAAGATGCATCTCGCATAGATGTTGTGTCATTTGATTATTCTCGTGCATTCGACTCGATTTCGCACAGAATCCTGTGCGCTAAACTGGAGCATACATATGGAATCAGTGGCAATGTGCTAAAATGGTTGAAATCCTTTGTTAGCGACAGAAAGCCGCGAGTGGTATTCCTGGGTAAATGTTCGCCTTGCACAACTGTACTATGTGGTATACCACAAGGATCATTTCTTGGACCGTTGTTGTTTACTGTCTATGTAAACGAACTTCGTTCTGTAGGAACTGTGCTACGCTTGTACTTCTTAAACTGTATTCATCATTAGTGTTGCCTCACATTCATTATTGTTGTAATGTATAGCATCCCTATAGGAAGGAGAACATAAACAAAATTGAATTGATTTAGCGTCGCGCTACCAGATTCATCTTGCATCAAAAAAGACAAGAGGATACATATACTAATCGCCTTGAGGCTCTTGAACTCTCTACAACCGAAGCTAATAGGAAATATTTTACAGTACTGTTTGTTTGTAGTTTATAACTGTGTACATGATTCTGTTGTTCTCGATAACATTGAAATCAGTAGTTATCGTGTCAATGAACTCTTTATTTATTCATTTGCGGGCTAATACAGATTCTGCTAAGTACAGCATTCCAGGCCGTTTCATGAGAATATGGAATAATTTACCCATTGATATTAAAGATTCTTTTTGTTTGTGATAGCTGGGGTATTTACAAAGGGAAAATTAAATATTATTTTAGACAATTTAGTTCATGGGATTGTTAATTGCTTTTCCTTCAATTGTATTTTCGGTTTTTTAAAGTTATTTTTGATAAAAAATTAATATTATATGTTTATTAAATCTATTTTGTTATCTATTTAATCTTGACTTTTCTTTGTTATATTGGCAAATATCTTTTTATTTATCTGTGTTTAATAAGGAAAATTGAGTCGGAGGGGCACACCATATCCGGTGATAGTAGTTTTTATACCGCTTTTGCCACTCTTCAGCCCTCCTCTTTCTTTATTGATTTTGTTGTTTTTGTACTGGCTGAAATGAATAAAATAAAATAAAAAAATCATGCAGTAACTGCCCAACTGCTGGGCTTGCATTGAATGTGGTGCGACGCTGTATCACCCACTAACGTAATAGTCAACCACTAATGTAAAAAATGTTTCAAATGCACGCAAATTTAACTGAAAGTATCTTTATAGTATTCTGAATCATGTTAAAATATTTAGAAGATGAAAGGTCAAAGTTCATAGTTTAAGGTCAAGTCAAAAAAAGATTACATTGAGCACAAACTTCACAGGAATGATGCCTATTAGTTTAAATACGTTTAAATATACATTGTGTATGAAAGGTCAAAGTTTACTGAGCAATGATAACATTTAAATATTTAATTGCACCCATTTTTCACTGGGAATGATTCTTAAGGCATTTTACCTAAATTAACCTACCTCATACCTCATACCTTTAATAAAGATAAAAGATCAAAGTCCATGTGTCAAGCTCAAGTCATAAATATGATTAATTTTAAGCCCAAATTTTATATAATTCATTTGGAATTCAAAATTCACTTTAAATTATTAAAGGGCCAACACAGTTTATGGAGCAAAGGTTAAATTATCAACATTTACAACTTGATAGAATTCCGTTTCCTGCATGCTGACAAAATGTTTTGAAGTGAAAAGCCAAAATTTATGGAGAAGGTCAAAATTTCAGAAGTTTCAATCGAGTGTAACGTGTACAATATTTATCCCTGTGATATCAAGTTAAAATGTATTTTGTTATTATATCTTTAACACTAAAGAACACAAATTTTCAACATCGCCATTAGTTCAACTGAACTGAAACATATTATATTCAGGGGCGTCGGAAGCTATTTTTATTGGTCCGGCCAAATATACATAATCATCATTGCATTAATAACATGACTTCTTTTCATTAGTTTATTAGTACTAAATATATCATTTAACCATTCATACTTTTCATTTTATTTGTGACCATGGGATTTCATAAATATTAACGTACGTACAAGTAATAGTAGTTAAACATTGCTTTAACAGTAGAAATGATATATTTAAAAATGATGTTTTACACTAGCCGATGTATTACCATACGGCCTGCTCAGTATGTTACAAAAGTAATCTAAAATATTTGACACTTATTCGTCTCGAACCAGGGCCATAGCTCAGCTACGGGTTGTACGCATGTATATTGGGCGGCCTGGGCCATGTCATAGTAATTTTTTTAATAAAGTGTAAATCTATCAGTTGAATTGATTAATAAGTATCTATCAGTTAAAAGTATCTAAACAAAATTGCTGATTTTCCCTGGCGTTTGTCCTACCACCCTGACCAGGACTGTTGTAGGGCCTGAGTAGAACCCCTGTAGAAACGTACTGTACCTTATTCTAATATTGACCCTCCACCCAAAGTTGATTCCCCTGATTATTATTGCTCTATTGAGTACTTATCACCTGGTAGATCTGTCCATATGATGGGAATACCTACATACATGGTCGTCCTGCCATTAATAAACCAAAACTTTACTAAATAATAATTCTAAATAATGTACTAGCAGTCTGTTATTTAAAAATCTAACGTATTCACCTAGTAATTAAAAAGACATTTAACCCTTACGCTGCCATCTTCGCATAAATGCGAACACCGCACAGTTGGTGTGCATGCTAGTTTCGCATAAATGCGATTAGGCTCACTGTCAGCCGTTCGCCACCTTCGTGAAGGTCTTCAAAAAAACGACAATAGAGCGGCTGTTTTAACACTAACCCAAATAGTGTTTACTGCATATGAAAGCTAATGAATTTCTGCACATTTTGATGTGAAACCTGCTGGGTGTTGTTTTGTTAGAAGTTTGAGTTTTTGCAAGTTGAAAATATGATGTTTTGAAATGTGAGAAACTTTATTCTTCTGCTATAGTTGTTACAGCTGTGCTGGATAATAAGGAGATTTAGAAACTGACGTAAAAAAACGCTGTTCTGGTCCTAGGCCTGGCAAGGCAGACCTGGCCTGGCTAGGCAGACCTAGCTTAGGCCTATGCCTAGCTAGGCCTGAACTGTGATGGTAATGTTAGTAAATATACGTAGGCCTAGGATTCGTTATTTTGAATGCAAAAACTGTTACCTAGTTACATTGAAATATAAGTAAAAACCAAGCAAAAATATAAATAAATATAGGCCTAATGTAATTAACAAGAGAATTTTTAGTTTTTATTAGAGATAATTATCTTGTGTCTTGTATAATTTAAAAATCGTCAGAGTACATTAAGACTAACTCAAATACATATTGTTTACAACAAAGACGATAGCCTCATAATAGGCTTTTTCAATAATTTTCAGACAACACTTCTCACAGATTTTAAATTTACCCACATTTTCAAACAGGAATTCAATTAAGCTACTTTCTTACTGCCTACCAACAAAAATCTATTTAGGGAACGTGCCACTTTGTGAGTTATGGCAGGAATCATTAGTTTTTGCTAATATTTGGCTTTGAAACTCAGCCGTGACGACATTACTTTTATTTGCACGTAATTTTCCTATCTCCAGTTAAGCACTACTTCAGTGCCTGTAAAAAGCTCAATGGAAGCAAGGGTTTCACATCGGAATAAATATTGCGTTGCTAGCCAAGCTCTAAACGCACACATCGGACTTATTTTTTTTAAATATATATATTATATCATTTCTGGTATATTTCATAAAACAAAACAAATTACATAGCAAGGTTACAGTACTATAAAAAACCAAAGAAAAAGTAAGCAACTATGGATAGTTATACATAAATGGCTATTCAAGAAACAAAATGATTGATGATTCATAATTCTACAAAATGCAAAATATAAAAGAAAAATTCAGTATATAGGCCTATCTACATTTTTCTACACAGCTAACTATTTTTGAATGCAATGTATTGTTCAATTTGTTTATGCTTCTCATATACTGATTTTAAGGGATTTATGTGCGGTTTTTGTCCATTAACTTTACAGTTATAAATGTATAGTTTTGTAATAAATATTAGTTTATTAATTGCATGATTATTTTTATGGTTGTCAATACCAAAACATATGCTTTCTTTATTTAAAGTTAAATTTCTTTCAAACCTTTGTATTATAACTATTTGTACTTGTTTCCACAGCACATTAATTACTTTGCATTCAAAAAATATGTGTATTAAAGTTTATTCTTCTTCTAAGCAAAATTCACAATTTGGTGATTCAACAATATATGTCTTATGTAGAAAGGAATTCGTATAAACAATACGATGAATAAATCGAAACTGAAAATTGTTAAGTTTTGTATCAATTGTACATTTATGTAGCGTTGTGAAGATCATATCCCATTGTAGTTTAGTATTGTTCAGTTCTTTTTTCCACCTGGACTCGATTCCATCCGGCACTGCAGTGTGTTTTTGAATTAAATGAGAATAGAGGTATATTGACAATTTCTTTCAATTTTCAGCACACTATTGATATTTGAATTTTCAATTATTACATTTGATGGATTTATATCTGTGTTCTCAATTATTATTTGCTTCCAGTGCCTTGGAATCGAGTTTACAATTTGATGGTAAAAAAGGAAATTCGGTTTGAAATTATGTCTTTCTTCAAATTCTTTCAAATTACAAATTCGATTACTATTGGTCACAATGTCCTTAATATATTTGATATTGTTGTCCCACCAAATTTTTTTTATAGTGAATTCTACGTTTTCAAAGCAGGAATTGTTCCATAGAGACTGTGATAGTATTTCTCTAACAGATTTCGGTTCTTTAAAAAAACACTCGCTCCAAGCAAATAGAACGTCTTTATTGAAACCCTTGAAATGTTTAAGCATTGCGGACGATTTTGAAAAGTTAAATCAAATATGAAGTTGTTTCCTACTTTATCAAGGTCGCTTTGAAAAAATATTTCCATTTGCCACCGTTCTTTCCAAGATATCTTTTTACCCAACATGCTTTTAGAGCCTGACAGTAACTTTAGACATGTGGCATTTTCAACCCTCCTGCTTCTAATTCATTGAACATAATTTTTCTTTTTATTTTATCGGGTTTTCCATTCCATACAAAATTGAACATTTTACTTTGTATATCATTAAAGAAGTAATTCGGTGGGTCGGGTAAATTTGAAAAAAGAAATGTTAAGAGATGGGCAGAACCAATATTTTAATGATCGTGATTTTTCCAAATAGGGATAGGGATCTCTGCCTCCACATATTTAATATTCTATCGATATCCTTATATTTTTGTTGAAAATTTAAATTGAATATATTACCTAAATTACTCGAAACATTAATGCCATGATATCGTATTTCCTTATTTGTCCATATTATGTTTTTTTCCGATAGGAATTTTGAAATCAGAATCTCTCAATGAACCCAATCTCATTATTTTACTTTTTTCGTTAATATCCTTCCAA